ATCACTTGTCATTTCGCCGTTCCTGAGCGCGCGAAATTTCAGCCCTATCATTTGTGGAAAATAATCGCTTCTAATTTAAAAACTATTATAGCCTCGACACTTTTGTATTAGGATTTTCGTCTGGAAATGTTCTAAGGAATCTGTCATTAAGAGGACCTCTGGTGGTTTTAGGACACCCGGTATATATATATATATATTTATATAATCCTTTATTCATCAATGCTTCTCGTTGACATGATGAATTTTTGGAATTAGTTTAGTGCTGATTTTTTTCTTGACAAAAATAATGATATTAAAATTTTTAAAACCAATTGACATATGTAGTGTATTGCAGAGTAAAAATAAGTGATTACAAAACATTTCCCAGAAAGTAGAGCAACTTGAAATTTGACAGAGAATCTGTGATCGACAAGTAGCACAGCAGAGAGAAAGGGAGGGAATGAGCGTGCGTGCGAGTGAAAGAGAGAGAGAGAGAGAGAGAGAGAGAGAGAGAGCAAGCGAGAGAAATAATACACACATATATATATGTATATATATATTAAAGATGTACATAAGCCTCTAGCGTTTTTCACAAAAATATTTTTGATAATCCTAGAAATTCGCAATTTTTCTTAGTTCTCGAGACATTTTCCCCTCGTCTCGATCCGGAGTAGCGGGATTATCTATTGTATTTCGTTGTAAATTGATTTAGATTTCGGATTAGTGGCATCACACGTCGACAAGTCGGTGTATATCAGCAATGCTTTTAAGCTGTCGTTAGCCAACGAATGCTGCATCGATCTAAAACGCACAATCGCCACGAGGATCATCACACGGTGCAAGCTCACGGTGCGCGTGAGCGGCAAATACGATACGATACGAACGAATTGAGAGAAATAATTCTTAGGATACAATTTACTCGCCAAAAAGAAAATAAAGAAGAATATATACATGTATAACGTCAACACACATTGCGTAAATTCTGTACACGATGTATATTCACCACTCGTCGCGTACGCTGCCTGTCTTGAGAAGAGAAAGAGATATATGTTATAGACAGAGAGAGAAAGAAAAAGAGACGCAGAAATTATCAATTTTAATATATAGTCATCGAAATATTTGAAACGTTCTAATATTTTCACTCAATGGCGAATATTCATCTTCGATTGTTCATAGAAATTAGGGCGAGAGATAGATGGTTACTAACTAGGAATTCTACACGGAGTCATGCAACAGGGATCGTACGCGTCGCGTGGTCGATGAAAAAGAAAAAAAAAGAAATATTTAAGCAACGCAAATAAACGTTCTGTGCAAACGAAACGTACCTTAGTGATTATTTTGTCTTCTTAATACCACACATGTTATATGTACATAAGCAGTATCGCACAACGTACCGCCGCATCTCTCTTTTTTTACATATATATACATATGTATATATATATACACACTAACATCACAGCTCAGTATATTGTACGAGTACCATATTGCGATAATTGCTACATAAGTCACGCACGAAACGAGTTCACCAAAATCCAACCAAAATAAGGATTAATTGACGTTGCCCGTGTCATTTGTTCCTCGTTGCTTGGTGAAGGGTACAACCACGACCACCGTTGCCACTATTATTAGGAGCAAGATATTATCGTTATCGTTCGATTATACTATCGCTGCTGTTGTAATAGCGTTGTTAATGTTTTGCGACGTGTGTGCGTGCGTGATGAGCGTGAGCGCGAGCATGCGCCTCTGCATGCTTTACGCTTCCCTCTTTTTGCATCCGTATACATACATCTGCATGCGTAGAATTTGCAAAGAAATGCTTCTGCCAGTTTGCGTAGCTCGGTCTCGATCCCGCTTTGTCGTTGCGCATAATCGAGGAGAATCCGGAAACACAAGGGGCAGACCCGCCGCAGAAATACTAATACGACACTCCATTCTCCTTTCACTCGCACTGTGAATTATAATGAATTATTC